GTGTCGATGGGAAAGATAAAATTAATGTGTCGATGGAAAAATAAAATAGTTAGCAAATGCATCGGCTTGAGATTGTCAATTATAACATATCAATTATATGGTCGAAAAATAAAAAAAGATTGTTATGTTCAAGAATTATATGTTCGCAATTATATGTTCAAGAATAACAATGATTTTCAAAAAGATTAATCATACAAAATTTAATTCTCATGAATAATCTAACCTCAATATAGATAGTCTATTTTTAACCAGACTGAAGAACGAATTAATCGAGATACATAAACCGATTCGAACACCCTAATGGCCTGCCTTTGCTAACTCTACAGCTTCCAGCTCAAAGGGTATATATATAGATAGTTGAAGATGACAACTTACAAAGGTTATGCATCATGTTGACATCACATTATTTGATTTCAACGGAAGTCTTGTGTCTCTTGTGACAAGATGTAGACACAGTTTCCTCAAATTCCAAGTTTCTAGGATGCTTTTATTTTTCCTTCTACAGCTTTGCAAGTGACTTTAAACATGTGTCTCACGTTGGATTCATATTCCATGAAAAAAAAAATTCAATTTAGCCTTTGGTATATATGGATAATGTTGTTCCATAGTCTGACGAAACCTAGATCTTGAATAGGTTCATGGTATACAGCAATGGCCAATGATAGAGCTTAATATAATATAGACATATAATAAAGTGTTCATTCGGATAAAAAGTGCAGACAGAAGAGGCATCATCACGTAGTGTACTTGTTTTATATCTTTACTTTAACCACGAAAGTCTAGTTCTTCTGTATCAAGAACAGGCAAGGTCAAAACCGGCAGTTTATGATGGGTCAAACCCAAGGCCAAGCCTACAATTTAAATTCAATTTAATTTAAGAGTTCAATTCTAAGGGATTCAACGTTTAAAGTGATTCACACCCGGTCAAGTTGATCAGGTTTGAGGAGCTACATCAACACAAGAGCATGCAAGGGTCATCTAAAAGTATCTTCCCAACCACTTTGAAATAAAGGTCATCCAAGAGTCTCCTCCTAGCTACTTTGAAGTAAAAGTCATTTAAGAGCCTCTTTCTAGCCACATTAGAATAAGGGTCATTCAAGAGTCTCCTACTACCCACCTTAAAATAAGGGTCATCCCAAGTATCTCATCCACGCGGATTTGGAAGAAGTCAATCACCACCTCATTCTTTTACCGAATCTTATGAAGAGCACCGTAACTACCTCATCTGTTGAGAAGAGATAGTCAACTCCACCAAATTAACTACTTAGTTACTAATAACTCACTCAAATCTGTTATTAGGTCACTATAAATTATAAGTCCCACCAACACTTGGGAGGCATCACACTCTGTTGAACACAAATCTGCTCTTCTTCTCAAAATTGTAACTCTCTGCTCTCCTTACACACTTGAAGTAATAAAATACCTGGCGACCTTAGCAATTCAAAGTGGAGATAGGTCACGTTGATCGAACCATTATAAATCTTATCTTATCTATATCTCACTTATTAATTACTGCATTTATTACTGCTCATCTAATAGGTGGGGTATAAACTCAATTTGTGCATTATAAGTTTTTGAGGAGCTACATTAGTAGAGGAGCATGTAAGGGTCATCCAAGAGTCTCCACCTAGCCCCCCCCCCCCCCTCCTTGGAGTAAGAGTCATTCAAGAGTCTCCTCCTAGCTACCTTGGTGTAGGTGTCATCAAGAGCCTCCTCCTAACCGCCTTAGAGTAAGAGTCATCCAAAAACCTCCTCCTAGCTACCTTAGGGTAAGGGTTATCCAACAGCTTTCTCCTAGCCACCTTAGAGTAAGGGTCATTCAAGAGTTTTCTCCTATCTATCTTGAAGTAAGGGTCATTCCAAGAGCCTCATTCATGCTGCCATGGAAGAAGTCAACCACCACCTCATTCTTTGACTGAATCTTATGGAGAGCATCGTAACTACCTCATTCGTTGAGTAGAGGTCGTCAACTCCACCAGATTAACCTCTTAATTATTAATAACTCGCCCAAATCTGTTATGAGGTGACTATAAATTGTAAGTCCCACCAACACTTGGGGGGCATCACACTCTGTTAAGCATAACTCTCATCTACCTCTCAAAGTTTGTAACTCTCTGTTCTCCCTTCACACTTGAAGTAATAAAATACCCGGTGACCCTAGCCATTCAAAGTGAACGTAAATCACGTTGACCGAATCACTATAAACCTTGTATTCTCCATTTCTTACTTATTAATTATTGCATTTATTACTGCTCATCTAACAAGTAGTGTACAAACTAAATTTGTGCATCATCACTTATATTACATGGTGCTTTGTGCATAACACGTAGAACTTAAATCAAATAGAGCCTTGTGCCTAACAAGTTTAGCTGTACCCCAGGGCTGCAAATTCTTCATCTTTATATATATGTGAGAGTGTGTGTGTTTGTGAAGTATATAAATATTTATATTACACTTTGTTTAACAATTTCAAATTAGTACAACAGTCTCTAGGCCCCAATGAACCGATACATGGATGATGAATTGGTATAAACCATTTCTGCAGCCTGATGAACTTGTACAAGTTGTACCAGTACATCAGGGTCTTCTCCTGATTTTGTATTTTGCTCCTCTAGTTCAACTCCACTTCTTTCCCATGCCCATGACATTTATATTGAATCCAAAGCATTTTTTCTTCTCCCCTTTGCACCTACAAACACAAATTTACACACTAATCAAAATTCCAACACAATTGGTAAAGATAAACATCAAACAATTGCGAAAAGTGCAGGTTAAATCATATTGAAATAAATTTTAAAAAAATCTATTTTAAAAAAATAATTAGTATAAAATTATACTATCTATTGACATTTATTTTGATCATTTAAACGACCAAATTAAACAATTAAATTACCCCAATTAAAACTAGCATATATTGTGTCTATTACAGTTTGGCCTCTTATTTTATTTTTTAATTTATTCCAATAGACAGTATAATTGTATACTAATTATGATTTTTTAAGAAAAATTAAATTTTTATTTTTGATTTTATTTCAATAAATGACATAATAGAACATGAATTTTGGTTGTAAAATTTATGTTTTATTATGAATGACTTAGACCCCTGGTTTGATTTTTTAGTTTTATTCCAATAAATAGTATAATTGTATATTAATTAAGATCTTTAAAGGAAAAAATGGCTTTTTATTTTTAATTTTATTTCAATAAATGATATAATATAACATGAATTTTGGGTTTAAAATTTAAAATATTTAATATTCTATCTTTGATTGGAGTATTTTTAGTCTAAGTATAACATTTTTAAACTTGAGTGATCTAAATATTATAAACTTACAAGCTTCGGAGGGTCTGGACGTAATTTTTTAACATTATTTGACGGTAGGGGTTTAAGTGTTACGCATGTACAAATTTTAAGGGGTCTGTGTATAATTTTAAATATTAGAAGATCTAAGTGATTAATGACAAATTTCAAGAAATGTAGGTGTAATTCTCCTATACAATATTATATGCTCAACACCAACGTCTTGTAATAGGATAGCTAAAAGCTTTGATATCTTTCGGGAGCATTTGGTAAGTTCCACTATTTATGATTGAATTGGTTTGGTAAAACCAATCCAAGCTGATGCAATCGGGTTTGGGGATAAGTTTTGATATGAATGATATATTTTTACCGTATCTTGTGTTTGGAAATAGTTAGATAAGAGTAGAAAAATTATGTGTGTTCCGATACGTAACATTGAATTAGATGTTCTTTTGACAATATTGTCCTCCATTCAATGAAGTTTATGATTTGATGCAAGGACAAATTAGTAATTTTGATTCAAATCCCAATGCAACCATTTCAATACCAACCCCTAGGTAGAATTCATTAACCCCCGCGTAAATGGGGTTAATTTGCAAGGATGATTATGGGTTCCAGATTCTAACTCCTATAGAAAATAATTTTTGTCAAACATGAAATCTGTGAGCCCAATCCCACGAACCAAACGACCCCTCATTGTTCAAAACTTCAAGGTTAGACCTAAATCAAATGGACCATTGGATTTCTAGCCCATCCAAATTTATTTTACATGTAAACCAAGGTTACACATTAGTCAAAATTCAAAAATGTTTTATTATATTCACCTCATCATTTTCTTTCCTCAATAGTGATTTTCAAAGAATATGGACTACAATTAACCTGTGTAATTACGTATTTAATCATTTCTTTTTTTTTTTTTATCGTGTTACAAGTTTGCTTCCCCTAGCCTTCATTTCAATATTTATAATTTTTTCTTTTAAAGGTAAGTAGTATTTATGATTTTTTCACTATCCAATTCAACGTAAAATTGATTGCAAATGACCTTCGTTGACTTTCATTATTATTCAATTATTAATTATTGTGTTTACGATATTTCACCAACTTTCAATGATATTACCATACTTACTACTTGACTTTTTATTTTCAATAAATTATAGAACTAAAAATTAGAAAACGTCGATTGCATAACTCAATTAATGATCATTAAATAACTTTGAAATTGATTGGCTAAACACAAGTTTTCATTGAAATTGGTATGAAATTATCAAATACCGCTTTGAAAATAATGAAAATAAATATAAAATGCAAATAATTGCGACTAGACATTGTTTTTATATGATAAAAAATATCATGAACTAAATATCAATGTACCGTCTTAGTTTTATAAGTTTGGAGGAAAAACAAAAAACAAATTTTGTAATTAAAGAGCCCACCCAAAAAATAACTTTCTGCTCTCCCCTGCCTAAAAGTCCTATAAGACATTACACGATATGAGGTACAATCCTGCATTCATCTCCAGGAAGCATTGGCAGAGATAAATGATCCACCATTGCAGCATTTAGCCAAACAACGTCACTGCACAACCCACTCAGCTCTTGAGATGCAGTAACCCAAGAAGAGGATACTCAGTTGTCATTAGTTTCTTCGGTGGCCTCAGAAGTGCCCGGTACTGGACCATAGAGACATATACGAAGATCACCTTGTAGTAGTCGCGGGTGAAAATAGCTCTTATACAAGTCCCAAAATTCATCTCTGCAAAGACGAGACATCATGTATACTATACAAATGAAGAACAAAAGTTTGCATCCCTAATCGGGTTAAAAGTGATTATGCACATACACAATGTTGGGTCCTGGGGGCATAAAAGTGTTCCAGTGAAGCAGTAACACTTGCAAAGGTACTTTACATTTTTTTCTGACTTTTTACGTAAAATCAAAGCTAAGTGTAACAATGCTTAACGACTGTTTTTCAAAAGCAATATATGAGCATCTTCATGCATATGTATGAGCATAAATGTGCCAAAAGTCATATGAGCATCTTAATGAATACTTATGTGCATAGATGTAGTAACTATCCACATGGTCACTCTTAGGAGGCGAGCAATCACGAAAGACAAAAAAGAGATAAAAAAACAAAAAGTTATTTGCCACTTTTGCAAACGAAACGTAACTTTTTTTGTATTTTTTACGTAAGAAATATTTTGAAAAATAGTTCACCAAAACAGAGCCTTGATATTATCAGAAACATCAATAAACACTAGTTGATAGCGAAGTTCATGGGGGCAGAAAATAAATATAATAGCACCATCACTCAAAGGAAGATGGGAAGAGAGATGAATAAAACTAACAGTCGAACCTGATTTGAGGAAGTGTGAACAATGAATAGCCTTTAACATCTGCATGCATGTCGAGCACGATAACTGCTAATCGTGATAGTCCCAGTGCCTCAACATCAATTAACTTCTTGATCCTAAAACCAGGTAGACAAGAGTCGGGCAAATATGAAACTGAAAAGACCAAATAAGACAAAACTAAAAAAAATGAATAGCGTTCTAGTAAAAAAAACATAAAGAAATTCAAATCTGCATGTATATATATATATGTGCATGTGAGAGCAAGGACACTGCCTAATTTTTATAAGACAAATAACAACTTCACAACCTATCCACACCCAGAAAAACAAAACGAAAAAGAAGAGATGCAATCAAAGAAGAACAGAGAGAGAGAGAGAGAGGTTGGCATCAAAATTCACCAGAGCAAGAAAAATCACACTTCATGATCAAGGAACGAAGAAAAAATCTGAGGTTGGATATTATAACAGTAAAAAAATCCCCCCCCCCCCCCCCCCGAGCAACAAGAATTTATGGAAGGCACTTGACAATGCTCCTTATACTTCCCAACAATCAAGTGATATTGGCACCAAATGGTAAGAACTTCATTCCTCCACATTGGTACACAAGTAATGGACAGGAATACAGTACTTGATCATGCTCCAACAAAATGCCAACTTACTACCAAAATACTACCAAGTAAAGCCTCATTATCAACCCTACAATGTGCTCACTTGCAAGGTTAATTGTGCAAAGGGCTCTTAGGAAGCCCCTTCTATGGCTCATTTTGCCTCTTGTATGGACAAAAAATGAACACTGAAAAGGCTATCCACGACATTCTCTTCATGGATTGGCAAATTCCCTCATAGATATCATTAATCTTCTGAGACACGTTATCTCAAGGGTAAGGCTTCTTAAACAAACAACCAAAATAAATATCAACCCTCAAATATTAATTAAAGTTGTCAAAAGAAGTGTTTATGCACAGCAAGTCCCCCAATACAAGTCCACAGCTATGTCAGCTGACATGCATTAGACAAAACCTCCATTGCTACGAATTCTTGGTGGTGCCCTGCACGACCTTTGATGATCAACTCAGTGTCATTAAAAGTAAACCTAGGAGATCACCTAGGCATAAGGCAAGGTCAGACAAGCTTTTCTAAAGCGATGCTGAAGCACCAAAGGCCATACCATGATGTATGGTAGAGTGTCACTTTCTATGGAGGATGTTAAAGCAGCCTTTAACTCGAAAGAGCTGAAGAAAAGAGTGTTTGAAAGCAAAGATGAAAGCTCTGACGAAGGTTTGGTTGCAAGAATATGATTGAATCAAAATGGGTCGAGTAGCAAAGGGGGATCCGAAAGGATCACTGATTTAATTGTCACAAGGAAGGGAAAGATTGTCCAAAGTGTAAAGGCAAAGAAAAGATTGAAGGCTCAAATCCTAGTAACATCGCCAGTTTGGAAGAGGAGAGCTTCGCTATGTGTCCCAATAACAACTAATTTGCCACTTATCAATCAATTGATGGGGGTAAGGTCTTTATGGGAAACTGTAGCCTCCGAGTTTCTTGTAATAGACACAATAAGAATCAAGATGTATGATGGTGTTGTGAGAACTCTAAAAAATGTCGGTCATGCTCCAGATCTAAGGAAAAATCTCATTTCCTTAGGTATGCTCGACTAACGGTTATAC